CAAGTATAGTTTCCCTATGGGCAAGTACTGTCATTTGTTTTAGTAGGTCCTGGTGCTTTTGCCTTGAGGAGGAGATGCACCCCTTGGTTTCTCATACACATACACAGACAAACACAATATCTCCACAAATGTATGATGTCTTTGTGCATCTGGGTTGGGCCATTAAAGGTAGCCCTGTTTTGGGGATGCTGGGCGTGGTTGTACTTTGGCTGTACGGCCAACGCGGCTACTCCTAAATATGTTTGCAATATCTGGAGGGATTGGGATTCAGGGGGTACCTCCAGTATCACGAAATACCCCTGGATATATTTGCAATATTTCAAGGTAACACTGAATGTGTTTGCAGTGTCGCAAGGTGTTGGGATTCAGAAGTTCAGAGTTACCTCAGGCTTCTTGAGGTGGCCCTGGATATGTTTGCAGCATCTCAAGGTACCCCTAAATATGTTTGCAATATCTTGAGGTGTTGCGATTCAGGTGTAGCCTTACTTCCAATATCTCAAGGTACTAGGTACCACTGAATAGGTTTGCAATATCTCAAGGTGCCCCTGGATATGTTTGCAATATCTTAAGATACCCCTGCATGGGTTTGCAGTATCTCAAGATACCCCCTAGATATGTTTGCAGTATCTTAAAGTGCTCCTTGCATATGTTTACAATGTGTTTGCAATACTTCAAGGTATCTCTGGATATGTTTTCAGTATCTCAAGATACTTTGCTATATGGCCAACACGGCTACCCTATGAACATGTTTATTAGTATTTCTAGGGATTGGAATTTCCTAGGTTTGTTGTTGTTGTTGTCTGCCTTTGAGGGGTTTCCATCTTATGGCAACCCTAAAGCCGTGAACTTATCTTGGGGCAAGATTTCTTCAGAGGGGGTTTGCTGTTGTTATCCCCTGAGGCTGAGAGAGTGTGACTCATCCAAGATCATCCAGTGGCTAAGCCAGGATTCGAACCCTGTCCCCCAGTGTCCTAGCCTAATGCCCAAACCACGCTGGCTGACCATACTTTGAGGTACCCCTGGATATGTTCTCAATATTGCATTTGCAGAGGGGTGGGATATAAATAATAATAATAATTATTATTATATCTTGAGGGATTGGAATTCAGATATTCAGGGGTATCTCCAAAATCTTGAGGTAACCCTGGATATGTTTGCAATGTCTGGAGAGGACTTTGGTATATGGCCAACATGACTGACTCTGGATATGTTCCCACTATGTCTTCCTCAATACTATGTCTCCCCCAATATGCCTGGACGGGTGTCCTAGGGCCCCCCCTTCCGCCTGGGTTTGGAGGAATGCTGCTGATGCTTTTTCTTGGGCTCTCCTGTTTTCCAAACCTATTCTCCTGTTTTAACATGAGGCGTCTGGAGGCTGGCTTTTCTTGTGTGGAGGAGAGCCAGCCGTGGGGCGGGTTCCCCTTGCATGTTTCTATCCACACATGTTTTGTGTGTGTGTGTGTGTGTGCGCGCGCCTGTGGGCTGGGATCACAGTGCATCCCCTCCACTTGGTGCCCAGCCTCTTCCTTCTTCCTTGGGGCGACCCTATTCATCCTCCGTGTTTTTGGACTCCAGCTCCCAGAATCCCAGGCCCTTGGCCAAGTTGACTGAGGATTCTGGGTGCTGAATTCCAAAACACCTGGAGCACCTGAGTTTGGGAATCACTGGCTTAGACATTACTGCCTTAGGAGGGAGTGGTGCTTGTGCTTGTTGGAATACTCTGGGGTGGGATACTTGTCTGCCTCCTTTTTCCCCAGTTTGTATATCTCTGGTCTGCATTGCTCCATGGTGTGTGTGTGTGTGTTGTGCGCCTTCAAGCTGTTTCTGACTTCTGGCGACCCTAAGGCAAACGTACCATGGGGTTTTTTTGGGAAGTTTCTTCAGAAGAGGTTTGCCATTACCATCCTCTGAGGCTGAGAGGGTGTGTCTCACCCAAGGTCACACCCAGTGGGTTTTCATGGCTGAGCCGGGATTCGATCCCTGGTCTCCAAAGTCGTAGTCCAGCACACAAACTACTACACCAGGCTGTCTGTCTGCTCCATAGTAGCAGGGGCTAAATCTAATCAGGGGAAAGCAGAGAAACGGCTGGCGCTGCTCAGACAGGATTTCCTGAGGTGCCTCTCCTCCCAGCAGGTAGAGCCACTTCCTTTTGGCTCCAGGACTTGGGTTTCTACGCTGGAGGCTTATGAAGGGTTTGCACTGTTTAAAAAGCCAGCCTCTGCTTTGGAGAGCTCAGCTTTTTTACTGCAGGTCTGCTTTCCAAAGAGAAGCATGCATTATTTTATATATATATATTTTTTTTAAAAAGAAAGAACAGCGTAGGTTATGGAGATTTGTTGTACAAGTAATGTTGCGTCGCTTGAAAGAAATCAATTAAAAAACTGCCAACAAAAACGCACCAGCCTTTCTTCTTCTCACTTTGTGCTCTGAAGAACACAGGGATCACCAAAAACAAATCCTGCTGTTGGGTGTGCACTAGTTACACAGTGGGTACAAATGGGTTAATAAATTGATTTAAAATTCTTCACAAATTCTAAAGTGCCTGTAGCATAGTAATAGACTGTGGCCTAATAATACTGTGATACTGAAAAGTATCAGCTTCTTGAGTTTGGTATTTATCTCTTAATCTAACTCAGGGGTAGGCAACCTTTCCCCTTTAAGGGCCAGGGACTTCAGCTCCCAGAAGCCTCAGCCATGTTGGCCAATAGTCCCATGTTGGCCAATAGCTCCTGGGATTCTGGGAGCTGAAGTCCCTCGGCCCTTAAAGGGGACAGGTTTGCCTACCCCTGATCTAACTCAACAGAAGCTATTTCATGTATATTTTATATATTTCACAGGCAATATGATGTTTCAGTACTTTGCATTCAGGAAGACTCAGTTGTTATGGAGTAGACTGCAGCTAGTTTATCTCCTGCTTGATAAACAAACTTCAGATTGCTAGGCCAGATGCAGGCAGACTTTTGTAGATTTTCCTTTCTTTCTGGCTTTTGAACCCAGA